GGGAAGCAGGGAGAGAGTCTTGGACTCTCAGTGAGATTCTGATAAGGGTTTTGGGTATGTATTAGTGGTTCATCCTGGAGGGATGTTTGGGGATATCATCAGTGTATCGGGTTTTCCAAACCTGAGGGTGCTAGAGCTAGATCAGCATGTGTGTGTGATTGCAAGAGGAGAACTCGTGGGAGTTGCTCTGGGATTGAAGAATGGGTCTTTCTATCGTCATGGAATGGATAGAGTGGGATTCGGATCGGGGATCCGATGGTTCATGATTTTCTAGCCATATGAGTCAAGTGAATGATGAGAATTGGAGCAGTAAGGCATCATGGGTAATTCTCGGTTGTGAGTGCGACTATCGGAGGGTTCAGTCGGTGCCCGGTTTGAGACGGTGGTCGGACACCGTAAGGAAAGAGAGAGTGAGCTGAATTTCGTGGGGTATGCCTTGAGGGACCTGGTCCGGTTAAGGTCAGGTGGCGCATCGTGGGAAGTATTTTGAAGTCGAGATGCCGTAGGCTTCGAGGACGAAGCCTAATTTAAGTGGGGAAGAATTATAACATCCCGGAATCGCAAGAGTAGAGGTGAACGGATAAAAGTGTAAGTTTTGGAGGGCAACTCGGCGAGTCCATGGATGGACTCGGCGAGTCAGGTCGCGACTTTGGTCGCGTGTCAAGTGGCCTACTCGGCCAGTCCAAAGATGGACTCGGCGAGTAGGTGCTGAGTGGTGAAAACCCTAATTCTCGGGGTTGAGCCCTATATAAAGAGCATTATGTTTCCTCCCCAGCCTCTTTATCACCCCCTTGAGTCCCAGAAACCCTAAAATCGTGGAGAAGCACCATTATTGAGTGGATTATAGCTTGGAGAAGTAATTGTTGAAGAAATTTTGGAACTTTGAAGGTGTGGAGCAAGGGGCTTTGCTTGGTTTCGAGTTCCTTGCAGATTGGGGCATCCTTTGAAGGTAAAATCTCGTTCTTGAGCTGCTATTGTCTAGATTCTTCACTTTTGGGGATGATGAGATCACATCTTTTGGTGTTTTGAAGTCTAGAGGATAGATCTGAGGTTGCTACCTCAGATCTGGAATGGAGAAGGGCTGGAATGCCTGAAAGTCCCTGTAATTGAGTATGTAGTGAAGCTATCTTGTCCCAAACCTTAGCCCTAATGTGTATAATACCTAGATCTTCATGGATTCACGTAAAGTTTGCCACTTTACGTGATGGATGGGTTGTAGGAGGCTAGATCTATGTTTTGGATCAATTGCATGGCCTAAGATGCTTCTGTATGGATTCAGACCGGTGGTACTCGACGAGTCACAAGAGTGGACTCGACGAGTTGCTTGAAGATGAGCTGGAACTCGACGAGTTGGATGAACAACTCGGCGAGTCTGTTCTTGGACTCGGCGAGTCTTGTCGAAGAGTCCCAATAATTTCTGGTTGAGTCGAGAATCGGTGAGTAAAGGGATGACTCGGTGAGTTGGGTGCAAGTAGACTCAGAGTGGTTGGACTCGGCGAGTCTCGGGGTGACTCGGCGAGTCAGGTCGCAGATTGAGGGAAGTTCTAAACTTGGGGACTCGGCGAGTCATGGGGTTGACTCGGCGAGTAGAGTCAGTCAGGGGTTGACTTTGACCTTGTCCAAGGGTTGACCAGTTGTCTTCCAAGGGTATTTTGGTAAATAAGGGTATATATATATATATATTGAATTGAGTGTTTTGGTGTTCAGTAGAGGAGTTTGTGTCGGAGTTCGGAGCAGCGGGATCTTATCTTTACAACCGGCAGATTCGAGGTGAGTTATCCTCACTATATCAACAGGGTCTAAGGCACCAAGGCCGGCCCTTTATTGGATTGAGATTCGGATATGGTTATTATGTTATTGTTTGATATGTCTGCATCCTGGTAGCCAGGATGGTACATGCTGGGGGCCTAGTTAAGGTCAGTTTCCTAATATGTAGAGTGATGTTATGCTAGTGACCGGTTAGGTCGGTAACCTGGTTAGGGTAATGATATGTTATGTGATCTGCTTGCTCGGTTTGTTGTCTATGACTGTTAGATGATTGTATGTTATGTGCACATGTTTGTTTGGACTGGAGATGGGTTGAGGTGGGTCCTGCTTTGTGCTGTAGGCCGAGATACCGAGGGCGGACCGGTTATTCCGAACGCACAGCGAGCAGTCCGGATAGGCTGTAGGCCCCACGAGGGCGGACCAGACGTGCCGAGGCTCGGAGAGTGGACCAGACTGACTGAAGGCCCGATGCGGGCGGACCAGTCACATTGTAGACTCAGAGAGTGGACCAGGTGGGTTGAAGGCCCGGTGCGGGCGGACCAACCACACTGTAGACTCGAAGGACATGATTAGACTCGGAGAATCGATCCGGTGGACTGAAGGCCGGATACGGCGGACCAGTCACACAGTAGTCCCGATATGCATGGCTGTTCTATGTTCTGTTATGTTATGTTATGTATGTTTTATATGTTATGGGCCGGAAGGCAATATGTTTTGGACCGGAAGGTCGTAGCCTGGAAGGGCGTATATGTGGTTGGTATTTTGGGGGTATCTCACTAAGCTTTCGGACTTACAGTTGTGGTTTAATGTTTTTCAGGTTCTTCAGGAGACTGTGGCAAGGCGAATGCGTGATCGTACCGCTCCTCATGATTTTGTAGCAATGTGGTTCTGGGAATACTCTAAATGATTTGTATTGAAAACCTTTTTGTAAACAATTTAATGAAATCGGGTTGTATTCGAAAAAATTAAATTGATTGCATTTTTCGATCGTTACATGGAGTTTATTTATTTATTTATTTTTTTGGAAAGGGATCTTCCCTAACGAAGGTTTCCGGGCCAGCTTTCGCGCACCGACTAACCCGCTGCAAACATAAAGCTTTGCTCCATGCCCTGGAGTCACTGCAGGCGAACCTCCATGACCACAAGGGTTGAGTGGTGCCAGGATTTGAACATGGGTCAATAGGTTATCCATCACATCTTCCACATGCCTTACCATATCACCACAACCCAAGTGGTTTACATGGAGTTTATTTAGGATTACGTTTCCCTAGCTCATAGTTATCTTTTGTTTATCATTTTGCCTAAGTTATCTTTATTTAAGCTTCCTAGTTTATCTAGTTTTTCAACTATATATACAGCCTTTGTAATATTTCGTTTATTGATTAATAACAAAAAAATATTCAATATCGATTCTATTAGAACTTACATAACTATTATTCACAAAAATAAGGCTTAAATCAGTTTTCCGATCAATCATAATCGTCAATGGCACTAGGTACTAGGTACCTTTTGACAACCTCTTTAACATAAATCTCAACATAATTTTCCATAGGACAACCTCTTTAACATAAATCTCAACATAATTTTCCATAGGCCATGTGGTTCGAACTACTTGAAACAAAATGTGCACTCTATCAAACCGATCAATGTTATCTAAATCATGTTGCAGTAAACAATATAATTTATGTTAAATTCTTATTACTATTAAAACAAAATAAGTTTTAATATTTTATATTTATCTTTATCTATCAAGATCCTATATATACTTTTGTAATCTAAACTTTTCAATTAACAAGAAAATATATATTTTGGGAAATTTTATATGTATCCCCTCCCCTCCAATTGCTTTATGTATCCCTCATGTGAATTTAATAGTGCTTATATACTCCCCATGATATGAAGATTTATGTGAATGAGATGGATACATATAATAACACTCATTTCTATCCAATAAATCTAGCTAGCAAGTCTAAACTACATAGTCATAAACATCATATTCACGACATTATGATTCAAAGTGGAAAGACTAATGAGATTTCTAGTTAAAATGATGCATTTTCTGTTATTCTATCTTAACTTATTTTCAACTATATTTATATTTATTTACAAATGGGTCAATTAAAAGCTTGTATCTGACATATTTTTAATTATATTTATTTACAAATGAGTCAATTAAAAGCTTGTATCTGACATATTATTTTTAATTATCAATATTTCTAACTTTAAATCATGTTAATGTTATTAATGATGAGATAAGTGTGGTTAAATTTCCATTTTGTGCTATTTTGAATAATTTATAATTTATAATTTATTAACTACATTAATTTTGAACACAAAACAACTTTTATAGCACTACCAAAGAATTAACCAAAAACTAATGTTACATATGAACCAAAGTTAGATAAAGCAGCTAATCGAACTTACAATCCTTACTTCTATTCGCTATCCATCTAAAGGATTGCACTCTATACATAAGATAAAACTTAAAGTGAATAGAAGTGGAAATGATCGCATCAAACCGTTTTCTTTAACGACCGTTAAGCTGAGACGCATCAACACTCAGCACCAATCCATATTGCAAAACTTTAATTCAACGAAACTGGCAATTAGCAAATATGCGGTCCAATGCCTCAACAAATATATCGCAAACGACACATGGGGTTAAGTTCTTAGAGACATGGGGTTAAGTTCTTAGTGCCAATCCATATTGCAATGAGAAGAACCAATTAAACTTTACGTTCAAAACATATGTACTGAAACAATAACAAAAAGTACACATTATTTGTTAAGTTATTAATAATGATGTTATCATCAACTCATTTTTTACGAAACAGTAATTCTAAATATCAACATAAGCTTTTTTGTAATTCTAGTGTTTGTTAATTTACCGTTCATTTACTATACAAAAGAGATGGTATGTAGTTTCTGAAAGAAAAAAAAAAACGAAATAGCAATATTTTTTAGAAACATCTCATATCTAGACGTATATATAATGCAAATATCGAAAATTAAACACCTTGCATTCATATTTTAATCACCCAATAACATAATTGTATACATTCAGGGAAAACCAAGCAAACCCTTCCTAAACTTAGAAAAGACACTCCAACTTTATGACTAAAACGTGGCACACGAATAATCAAATTTGGATATAGTAACTAACAAAGACACATATTATAACGAAATATGTAAACTTTGGCCATGGATGCATGATCAATGATAAAATCAGATAATTATGAGTTCCGTACTTCAAACACATTGCGATTCTTGACCACAATATCATACATGTGCATTGACTTGAGCTTCTTGAAGTCTTTAGGGAGAGATATGAGGTGAACGGTGGATCTTTTATGAAATTGAAGAAGGCTCGGATCATCGTAGTACCTTTCCCACCCGATAGATGTGAGCATTCTTTCAAGAACCTCATATGAAGTAACAATTTCGTTGGTGGGTAGATGCACCAGAAACTTCCCACGAGACGCACCAGCAGCACCGGGGTTCTCCACTAGTCTAACCACGCCATTTTTGAACACCCAAACACCAGACATGTCTTTCTTGAAATGATGTGGAAATATTGGGAAGGGAAGAATAAGAATGTTGAAGATAGAAAAATTCCTAGGGGAATGAAGGTTTATATAGCCATATAGAAAGAATGCTGAGGTAAAGGCATATATTCTACTATCCATATAAATAAAATAATGCATGTCTATATATATATATATATATATATATATATATATATATATATATATATATATATATATATATATATATATATATATATATATATGATTAGGTTCATTTGACACCACCTATATTTTGTGAGACCGTGACACGTATTTTTTTATTTTTTTTTTATTTTTTTTTAGTTAATTTATGTTCCGAAAATAATATTTAAAAAAAGAATTTTTTTTTTGATTTTTCCATTTATTTTGCATTTTAAAATTATTTTTAAAATATGTACAGTGTAATATTCTATTTAGAATATTTCACGTATTTTTCAAAAAAAATAGAATTTTTTTTTTTATTTTTTTTAGTTAATTCAAGTTCCGAAAATAATATTTAAAAAAAGAATTTTTAGATTTTTCCATTTATTTTGCATTTTAAAATTATTTTTTAGAATATGTCAGTGTGATATTCTATTTAGAATATTTCACGTACTTTTCAAAAAAAAATGGAATTTTTTTTATTTTTTTTATTTTTTTATATTTTTTTTAGTTAATTCAGGTTCCGAAAATAATATTTAAAAAAAGAATTTTTGGATTTTTCCATTTATTTTGTATTTTAAAATTATTTTTAGATTTGGTCTCACGGTCTCACAAAATTAAAATGGTTTCAAATGAACCTGAATATATATATATATATATATATATATATATATATATATATATATATATATATATATATATATATATATATATATATATATATATATATATATATATATAAAAGAAACAATAACAAAAACTTAAAATTTATAAGAACTATGAGGATTAATATTCACTACTTGATAAAACAAATTCATTGTTAAGATTAAATTAAATATAAAATGAAACTTTATGATCCTGCTAAATTTTAGTGAACTTGCTAAGAAGAGCATAACAAATGTATAGGTGAAAATGACAATTTGCTTCGGAATAACGGTTTCACTAGAGCACTCTAACCCTCGTAACTTTTAAATTGTGTATTTGATACGGAACGTTTTGTAACATCTAGCTTTTTGCATTTTTACAAATTGTTTCATTTAAAAAAAATCCGTTTAACACTATAAGATTTTAATGTTTATTTTAAATAAAACGAATCAAATCTAAAACTTATCTTATATAATGTTTACTAAAACAGTATCAGCTACTAACTAGTTGTATCAAACACGTCTTTAATATCAAATATTTGTGACATAATATTATTTCATTAAGTTTGTAAAAATAATTTTTCAAAAATATTATAGTTTAGGGCTCATATGGTTTTTTAAAACGACAAAAGCTTTTATAAAACAAAGAGATAAATGTTCTACAAATGAAATTTTTTTGTGAAGTTTCTTATATATTCAATAATGATTAAGAACCTTAAATATGATTAAAAATAAGAATGTATAAATGTCATCTTCTATTTAAGAAGATTTCAGGGTGTTTTTTTTAAATAAGATTGAAATGGTAGGATTCAAAATATTATATTATGTTACTATTCAAAATAGTTTTAATCCATAATCTCTTATAATTATTGAGGACCTTTAATGATATATATATATATATATATATATATATATATATATATATATATATATATATATATATATATATATATATATATATATATGTGTAATTTTCAAAAATAAATTTAAAATAATTAATAACCTTGTTTAAATGTGACATTTTACTTAACCATATCATAGATTTTTATAAAAATAAAATTGAAAATGATAAGATTCAAAATATTTGTAATATATTATGATCTAGAAATTTATAATATTATATCTCCTATGATTCAAAAATATAATTATTTAGAATCATACTTTTTAAAAAATAGTATTTTAAATTATATTATTTTTTGATAAAAACATATTCAATATTATAAACCATTGGTTGACTTAATAATAGGAAAACTTTTATATATATATATATATATATATATATATATATATATATATATATATATATGAAAAACAAACAAATAATAAATAAATAAATAATAAAGACATAAAGAACCAAGATTCCATTATGATATATGGACGTATCAACATGTTATTGTATCATTGAGCAATCGTTTCGATTTATATAAGTTTGTCATGTTTGAGGACTACGTTTTATATTTTTCTGTTAATAAAAATGATTGGTCAAAGAAATGTCTTTGACGTTTTTACTTCCTTTGGGTTTTCATCCCGATGGAGGATTAGTTCATGTTAGAACCACAATTTTTTTACAATGAGGGAACCATTTCCGACATACATTTCGGAGAACTTTCTTTTCCGTATTTTTAACATGTGTTTTTTTTTTATATAAAAAGATCAATCATTCTAATTAAATATTTGAATATGTATTTATCATTCTATTTATTTGTTTGTAATATCAAACTTTTCACTAAATGCCTGCAGATGAGAATGAAACAAACAATGTAACCATCTCTTTATGTATGGCTCCATGATTAATTGACATCATTATTTTTAATATGAACATTACATATGAAAAAATATAATGGGTTGCGAGAGGTGAGTAGCAATTTTAGATTACGTGGATTCGTAGGGTGTCTTTGTGGTTTATTATATGGACTTCCATATGTAAAGATAATTGGTCATTTTGTAAAAAAATAATAATAATAATAATAATGGAATTTAAATTCTTTGCCAAACCTGTAGTAATGATATTAATCATGCGCAAATTTTGATAACCAAACGCTGTCACATAATAGAAACTACATTCTAATTCCCCAAACCAAACGTTTCATTAACCAAATGTGAAGCGTGCATTACAAAGGTTGTTTAAGAAATACATTCGGTTCATGTTTTTTTATTCAAAAGCAAAAGGATGTAATTGAAAATGTTTCTCGAGCGAACATTATCATTCACTCGTCTATACTTATCAACAACTTGTTTATAAATGGTAACCAGATAACTTGGAAGTGTTAGATTAATATTCCATCATCTATCTAATTCCGTAACTTGCACGCTTGTTTATTTGCTTACATATATTATATGTAGTAAGAACCTATGACATCAATTCGTCAAGTAACCTCTCCTAACATATTACAATTTCGGCAAATGGGTGTTTGTTGGATTTGCACAAAGGGAAAAGTGTGAGATATTAAATTGAAAAGCTAAAAATTTGGTTAAACATCATTAATTAGGTTAAAGGAATATTAAGAAGAGAATAAAGGCCTAAACACTTGCAAATGCGGATCAATCCCTTTTATTTAAACATAATCCAATATCAAAGAGATTTCATACCTCGAAGTGTCGCGATCACAATAAAGCATAAGCATACCAAAAGGTGGGCTCATAAATCTTCACATGGTATACGAGAATGTTCATACTTTATATATATATATATATATATATATATATATATATATATATATATATATATATATATATATATATATATATATATATATATATATATATATATATATATATATATATATATATATATATATATATATATATATATGGGAAAAGTGAATATACCTAACAACCTTATATAAGCTTAGGTACCTAACCACATTATACTATATTGTTTTGCATTATATTTCCATTACAATCGTCTAAGGTTCTTAAACTTTAACCTTTAACTTGATTTACTTTCAAGATTTTCAGACATTCACCATTATATTCCTCCTACACCATTTGATTTGTAACGGTAGTATATGAAGCCCACCAGGAGGTCTCCGATAGAAAAACGTCATTCGAAAGAAGATAATGGTGAAAGTCCAATGATTTTGGAAACAATCAAGTTATGAGGTTGAATTTTAAGAACATTGGATGATTACAATGCAAATATGATATAAAATTACGTAGTATGATGTGGTTAGGTACCTAAGCTTATATAAGGTTGTTAGGTATATTCACTTTACCATATATATATATATATATATATATATATATATATATATATATATATATATATATATATATATATATATATATATATATATATATATATATATATATATATGGTTCAAATGAGAACTAAAAATATTAAATACCTAAGAACCAATTAATTTTAGCTTATAATTAAAAGCCATAAGAACATTTTATCTATTAGGCAATATTAGGTTTTTTTATTATATTAACTAAATATGTTATTTTTGTTAATTTTAAAATTTTCATTATCTTGTCTGTAAGGGTATTTCCGTAATTAACAAAATCAAGCCAAAAGCAAATCTTTTCCACAGTACGTCAAGATTCTTTCGTTCAGATTCCTTAAACAGTATTAGTTATTCATATTTCGTGGCCTTCGATTTATATAGAATCGATTAATTGTGTTTGTCACAACCTAGAAATTTTTGTGCCTTGTAGATTACAACAATTAAGCCAAAGTATGAATCAAAGACTCAAGAGCATGTATGATGCATACTCTATGATAATAAAATTTCAAACAAACACCCCATGCAAGCATTTCAAGTAGTCAATAAGCAATTGGAAACCCTAGAAGTCCTTGTTTAAGTCTATTTTGGACTAGGACTTCCTTATTGGGCCCAATGGACCAATAAGCTTCCAATTTGACCATCTTGAGCTTAGAACTCTTAAATGGGCTCTAATTGGACCCACTTCCATTTATTTCAATATTTTGGGCCATATTGGGCCTAGAATGAAATAAATTATTTAAATGAACCAAATTAGGCCTGAGGCACCCTAGTAGTCCAATGGGCCGAAAAACAATCAACATGGGCCCATGATTTGGATTTAAGCACCAAAGGCCCAAGTCTCCATCTCTCCCCTCTATCTCTCGGCCCAAGTAAGAAAAAAAAAGAGAAAGAAAAGAAAATTTTGAGAATTAAGGAGGATTAGCCACCTCCTTAATACCTATGGGATATCCAAGGAAATCTCACATGT